GCCGCTGGCCGGCTGCTGGTCGGGTGGTCGTCCGCGCGGGTGGAGGTACTCGCGGCCCGGCCACTCCGGTGCTTCCGGTGCCTCGAAGAGGGGCACATCCGTCGAGGTTGTCCGTCTGATGCGGACCGTGGCGGGCGGTGCTACTCGTGTGGTGGCACCGGCCACGTGGCCCGGGAATGCGCCGAGGCCCCCAAGTGCCCGGTCTGTACCGACCTCGGTCGGCCGGCCGGTCACCGTTTGGGTGGCGGGGGCTGCGCGCCACCGCCGTCGCGGCGGAGCAGGCCGGGCGGGGGTGCGGCGGTGACGCCGGGTGCGGCTGCTCTGCAGACGCAGGTGGATCGACCGGCGCAGGCGCCGGTCGGCGAGGAGGGAGGATCCGGCCGGGGGGAGGCCATGGACACGGCATAGTGTTCAGGCCCCCCACTCGGATCCTCCAGGCCAACCTCAACCACTCGGCCCGGGCTCAGGACTTCTTCCTACATTGCCTGGCCGAGCTTGGTGTGGGGTTGGCGGTCGCCGCGGAGCCGTACCGCGTCCCTGACCGCCCGGATTGGGCGGGGGACGCGCTGGGCTCTGTGGCGGCGGTGAGCGACGGAACCGTGCCCATGAGCGTGATTGCGCGGGAGTGCGGTTTCGTCGCGGTGCGTCGTGGGCGCCTGTCTGTGGTCGGTGTCTACGCTCCGCCGAGCATGCCCCTCGCTGCGTTCGGGGCGCTACTGGACGATATACGGGACGTGGTGTCCCGTGCTCCGGCGCGCCCGACGTTGGTCCTGGGGGACTTCAACGCGAAGTCCACCCTGTGGGGAAGCCCTAGGACCGACGCGCGGGGGGATGCCGTGCAGGAGTGGGCGGCGGGACTGGACCTCCGGTTGCTCAACCGGGGGTCCGTGAGCACGTGCGTGCGGTGGCAGGGCGAGTCCATTGTGGACTTGTCGTGGGCAACGCCCGCCGCCGCGCGTCTCGTGACGGGGTGGAGGGTGGCGGAGGAGGTGGAATCGCTGAGCGACCACCTCCACATCCTGATGGATGTATCCGCCGCCCGACGGGACCACCCCCCTGCCGCTGGCCGACCGCCGCGTAGGTGGGCGCTCGGACGCTTGGAGGAGGACGCCCTGATGGCCGCCTCCCTCGCCGCGTCCTGGCCGGAGATTCCGGCCGGGCCGGTCGCGGACGTCGATCGGGAGGCCGAATGGCTCCGGGATGCATTGACGGCGGCGTGTGACGCCGCCATGCCCCGGGCCAGGAGGGCCCCGAGGCGGGCTTCTTATTGGTGGAGCGACGCCATTGCCGAGCTTCGTTGCACGTGCAACGCGGCGCGGCGTCGCTTCGCCCGGGCCCGCCGTAGACGGCGCCGCGACCCGGCGGTGGAGGCCCTGCTGTACGAGGGCTACCGCCGGGCGAGGGCTGAGTTGCAGGTGGCCATCAGGAGGGCCAAGGCGGGAGCGTGGGACGAGCTCCTCGGGACTCTCGACGGTGACCCATGGGGGCGCCCCTACCGCATCGTCTTAGGGCGACTGCGGCCGGCTGCCCCCCCGGTCACCGAGAGCCTGGACCCCCCCATGCTCGGGCAGGTGGTCGGCACCCTTTTTCCGGATGATCCGGAGGAGGGTCGCCGGCCGCTCGAGCCGGCGGACCCCGTGGAGTGGTCCGCCGAATGGGGGGTCAGCGACGGGGAGCTCGCCGTGGCCGTCGCGCGCCTCGGAGGCCGTAAAGCTCCGGGGCCGGACGGCATTCCCGGTAGGGCTCTGCGCCTGGCCCTGCGCGTCCTCGGGCCCCGGCTCGGGCGGCTGCTGGACGGCTGTCTGATGTCGGGGCGGGTCCCGCTTCTATGGAAGCGGGCGAGGCTGACCCTGGTCCCCAAAAAGGGAAAGCCCGCGGGTGACCCTTCGGCCTATCGGCCGATATGCCTCCTTGACGAGGCGGGCAAGGTGTTCGAGCGTGTGCTCGCTGCCCGTCTCTCGAGGTGGCTGTCCGTCGGTGGTTCCGGACTGGCGGACTGCCAGTACGGTTTCCGCGAGGGCCGGTCGACGCTAGACGCCGTCGACCATGTCCGTGCCCTCGCGGATCTGGCGGTCTCCCGGGGGGGGGGGGTGGCATTGGCTGTGTCATTGGACATAGCCAACGCGTTCAACACCCTCCGCTGGGACGCGGTGCGCGGGGCGCTCCGGGACCACGGAGTGCCCCCGTATCTGCGGGCCGTCCTACGGGACTACCTGACGGACCGGTCGATAGAGTACCCCTGTCGAGGGGGTGCTCTCGTGAGCCGGAGGGTCTGCCGAGGAGTTCCCCAGGGGTCCGTGTTGGGCCCGCTGTTGTGGAACCTGGGGTTCGACTCGGCGCTGCGCGGGTCTCTCCCCCCCGGTGTGCGTGTCGTGTGCTACGCCGACGACACGCTCGTCATCGGGCTGGGGAGGGACGTGGCTAGGGTCAGCCGCCTGGTCGAGGTGGCAGTGGCCACGCTGGCCAGGGGAATCCAGGGGCTGGGGCTTAGTGTGTCGCCGCCCAAGACGGAGGTGGTCCTATTCCACGGACTGCCTCTGTCGCGGCGGGCGCCATAGGCCTGGATTCGGGTCGGGGATACGGCCGTCCGGGTCGGGGAGAGGCTGAAGTACCTCGGCCTTGACCTGGACGGCCGGTGGAGGAGGGAGGGCCACTTCGGCCGCCTTGTCCCCCGGATCGAGGGCGTGACGACCCTACTGGGTCGTCTTTTGCCCAACCTCGGGGGTTCGGGGGAGGGGGTCCGCCGCCTTTACACGGGTGTGGTGCGGGCGATGGCGCTCTACGGGTCTCCCGTATGGGCGCCC